TGCAGCCACGCCACGGTCCCTGCAGGCACCGTCCCACCAACCCTGCTTGGAGCAGAGCCACCACCACACAGCCACCCACGGCCACCCCAGTCCCAGCTCCTTTGCCCTGCCATCCCCCTGGGCAGCTCTACCGAGGCTGGCACAGCCAAGGAGGGTCTGGTCTGTAAAGCCAGGGTGCTCAGTCACATGCACAGCAGAATTTTGGGGTCAGTGATGCTTCTTGAGCCCCACTTTGTAAAGGAATGGCCACATGCAGAAAGCACCAAGCAGGGAAACTAAACCCGCCCCCCAGAGGAATGGGTATGGCTGCACCCAAAGCTGCAGTTGCTGATGCTTCTTTTCTTTCAAATCCAGGTATTTCTGGAAAGGGGAACTGGAAGAATCCACTGAAATACTGCTGGTAAGTGAGAATTCCCCACGTCACAGAAATCCCCATCCCAGAGAGCCCAGCTAAAAGGGGCTGCAGGGTGGTTTGGGGAGGGCAGCACCTTCACCTCTTGTTTTCTTTTGCTTGTTTACTCTCCACAGTTAGTGAAAACAAGGACATCCAAAATAGGAGAATTGTCCAACTATGTCAGGTGAGGCTCTGGCTCCGTGGGAGCACTGGGTTCCTTATCCAAGGTGTGCTGCCATCTCATGCTCAGGCTTTGGGAGTCAGGTTCCTTGAGCCCATTCCCACCCAGGGAGGGTTTAAATGTTCCTGATGTACCTTGTGAGCCCGAAAAAAACAGAGTGGATTAGAAATTTAAAAAAAAAAAGAAAAAAAAAAAGAAAAGGTTGGTGGAAATATCAGCTGTTGGGTTTCAACCAGCCCCTCCGTACTGGCTACAAGGAGGGATTCTCCTTCTCCTAGCACAGGTTATTCCCTGGCTGCCTCCTGGCAGGGTTTCCTGCTTTTCCCAAGCAGTGAGTGGTGAGTGCAGCCAGCTTTGGGCCAGGGCCCCTGGCAGGCAGCTGCTGGCTGTGGTAAACCCCAAACTCAAAAGCAAAATTCTCACATGGCAAAAAGAAGATGTGGGTGCTTTGAAGTCAGTGGAGAGCGTGGGGCAAGGCTGCTGCGCGCTGCTGGGAGCAGAGACCTCTGCTTCCTCTGCGAGCGGCAGCGGGGCTGTTCTGCCGCAGGGCTGGTGCTGACACTGTTCCTGTACGTCTGTTTCCACTTTAGATCCATCCATCCCTTTGAAATTCCTGAAATCATCAGCCTGCCTATTGACCAAGGAAACCCTCTCTACCTCAAATGGGTAGAGGAAAGTGTTCCACGGGACTAACTGAGAAGCGCAGGAAGCACCTCGCTTTGGGGGTGACCAGGTGAAAGGTGCTGAGCTGCGCTGGGCTCCCTGCGCAGGCAGGAGCTCTGCACGCAGGGAGGCAGCTTGTGCCTTCATGGGTTTGCAGTAACACAGAAGCTTGGGACTGGGAATTTTGTTTGCACCCAAAACATCCCCTCCTCAGCCTGAGCCTGTGCTCCAGGGAGCACCGAGCAGCCCAGAGGTGGCGGAGGCTGAAGCTGGGAAGGGCTACACGCACTGAGGGTGTGCAGCATCGTGGATGAGGATACACAGAGGCTCTTGTGTCGGGGCACTGCAGCATTTGGGGGCTGTCCCAGGACCCCAACAGCAAGTGCCAGCTGGTTGCCATGGCCTAGCAGCCCCTCAGCACCGTGTGTCCCCGCAGCCAGCGCCTGAACCCTTGCCTGGCCCCCCTGCTCCCCTGCAGCACTGTCGCAGCATCCTGCCCTGCTCTGCCTCCTGCTTCCCCAGCCCGGAGGCAGCAGGATGTGGCCGGGCACCCCACGATGCGCTGGCTCACGCCCTCTCCTGCTGTCATCACACGTGCTGGTTTGAGTCTTACAAAATCCAAGGAAACAGCAAACTTGAGCAGACGCTGCAGGCATTTACCAGGAGCTGCCACCAGCACACGCACGGCCCCTGCCCTGCCTGCCGAGCTGGGCTGAGCTGGGCACCATTCCCTGCCAGTTCAGGGAAACCACATCCCAGCAGGACCAGGGCATCACCCAGCAGCTGCGGGGCACCACGGCCCCTACCCCCACCTGGACAGTGGGTTTGTGCTCAGGCCAAGTTTAACCTTGTAAAAAGATGCTCATGTTCATAGTTTAATGGGACATAACTTATGGAGCAATATTGAGTTATTTATGTGACTGGGAAGGGAATAAACAGGAGCGTTTCTTACCTGGGCAGGCTCACGCATCGTTGCAGTTTGTGGGCACAGTGAGCTGGGCAGGAGGAAGGCTCCATTGTGGGTTTGCAGCATCTCTCTCCCACCCAGTGCTGAGTGTTGCTCCGCTCACTCCCACCTGCTCATCTCGGGCTCCTGGAGAAGCGGCACAGGGCGCTCAGCAGGCGGCCAGAGCTGAGCCCACAGGCTTGTGCGGCCCCATCGGCCTGGGGAAGGCTCACGGGCACAGGAACGAGAAGACAAGAGGCAAAAAGCTCCGAGCTCTGAGAGCAGGAAACTTTTCAGCACTAAATTCAAGGAATCAGGGTACCAGTTAGGTCCTTTTTCTGACAAAAAGGAGCAAAGCATGTGAGGTGAGAACCAGCACCCCCAGGCCAGCTCTGCAGCCCACAAAAGCTAAGCTTTGTTTAGCCCCAAGTTTGGGAGGGGCCATTTGGGACCTCCCTAGTCAGTGGGACTCTGAGGAAGGGGGACAAAGCCCCTCTTGACAAACCCCACCACTGCAAGAGGTGTCCCTGTCCCCTGCTGTCCCCACACCCTGCTGGGCTGTGCCCACACTCAACCCTTGGCATCTCTCAGCTATTCTCCTGCTTCACAGCAGCATCTCTCAGGGTGAGGGCACCTCACCCTGGCATGGGGTACAACCCAGCGGCACCAGCTGCACCCACCGAGGCACATACTGGTCCCCAGTGCCCAGACTCAATAATCCTGATACTACAAAGAAGCAGTGATGGTTAAAAACCCCCCCCAAAAAACAACTTTTTAATTGTACATCAGACATATTAATTACAACTTGGGTATAACAAGAGTTGGTTATTACAAGCAGCAACCTGAACTCTTAAATCTTTAGAAGGTGCACAGAGTCATTATAAGATCTATTCCAGCTAATGCAAAATATACTCTGCAACAAAAATATTTTTAAAGGCTCCACATTCAATTCTCTGCAAGAGGCCAGGAGGAGAGGGAACAGGGGGAGAAGAGGGGAACTGGGGCCACGCGTTGTGGGTGATCCCACAAGTGCAATGTCCATTGGCACATCCAGCGGGAATAACCCCCCTGGGCCCTGGCACGGCTCTTGGCAGCCCCCGGCCCCCCAGGCAGCAACTCGGACAGTGACAAGGGTTTCACAGGCACTTGGGAAAGGGAAATATTTGGAATGATCCTTTGGTGACAAAGCCAAGGCAGGACGGGGAGTGACCCAGCTGGCCACAGAGCTGCACCCATCCCTTCCAGGGAAGGGGGGTCCCAGCAGCACATCACCCAAAAGGACAGGCCCCCTCCAGAGATGCACTGTCTGTCACCAGTATCATCACCTCGCGGCCACACACAGGCCTGGTGCCTGTTAAATTAATTAAAACCACTGGCAAACCCCCCCTTCATGGGGGTCCCACTCCGTTATTTCAGCAGTAGCTGAAGCAGGAGTTTGTTTTTAAGGGCCACGCTTTGGCCTCTGGTTTGCAAACGTCACCTGCTCCCTCGTGCTGATCACACCGATGGATTTTAAGTACTTTTTCAAGAAAACAACCTCTAAAATTCACTCTCTGGTCAGCAGATCCTGCAAGTGCAGAGACGGACAACGATGGGGCTGCTGATGGAGCAGGACCACGCAGCACCCCAGCATCACCCACCCTCTGTCCCTGTGGGACAGCCGTGGCAGTGATGGGGAGAGACAAGGAGGACAACGTTAAAAATATATATCTATATATATATATATCTCTCTTAGAAAAAAAATCTAACAAAGATGTCTGATGATATTAGAATTTTTTTAAAAAGCCAAGCGCTTTGCCCCGGAGCAGCCTGGCAGTATTGCTTTAGGTAAAGAAGGGGGCTGCTCCTTCCCTGCCGCAGACAAACCGACCCACCCACTCACAACAAGCGCTACCCCAGTGACAAAGCACAGCTGCCCTCCAGCGAGGCACAGCCACAAGGCCACAGAGATGGCCACAGAGATGGCCACAGAGATGGCCACAGGGACGCCAGGACAACCCCAGTGACAAAGCACAGCTGCCCTCCAGCGAGGCACAGCCACAAGGCCACAGAGATGGCCACAGGGATGGCCACAGGGACCCCTGGACAAACCCCTCCCCGTGCCCCTACTGTCCTCTTCAGCCTTTTTGGTTTGTCTGCTTGTTTGGCACATTCAGGACGAGGATTCCTGTGGGAATAAAGGCCTCGGGCTCCAGTTTGTGAAATGCCCGCAGTGGTTTTAAGGCAAGGGTGTATCTTTTGGCTGATCTCTTCCATGATTGTCAGAAAAACAGGGAAACGAAGCTGGTGTGTCACCACACGCCATCCAGGCTGGTCCAGGTTGCAGGATGGAAGCAACCACGTCAGTCTGCCCCATGGCAGTGAAAGCTGGCAGCACATGGGCCGTTCCCGGGGCATTTTTCCCTCATTTTAAACAAACCACGTTCCTTTAACGACGGGAAAAGCCCGTATACTGGCTCTAGTGAGAGTTGTCCACAGTTTCTGACGGGCAGAGGGATGGGCTGCGACAGCGCGGGCGAGGGAGGTGCTTTTGGCTTTAGCAGCAGGACCCCCTCCAGTCCGCTTGGTAAGGCTTGGACGTGGGGGACAAGTCAGGGTGCCCCAGGCACTGCCACAACGTCCATCTGCATGAGAAGGTTGTGGGGTGTCCCCCAAAGGGGCTTCCTGAAGGGGTACCCAGCCATGCTGGGGGGACCCTTCTGGGAAGGTCAGACCTGCTCGCTGCTCTTGCCCCCACCACGACAGCACCTCTGGCTCAGCCAAAGGCTCCAGCAGGGACGTGCAGCTGGGCCGCGCTCTTTGCGTACACACGGCCAATCAAATCATAATTGTTGAAATGAAGGAGTTGCAGTGGCCGTGCTGTGGGTTTCCCCCCTGGGCAGCGCAGCCGCTCTCGCTGCTGCCTCCACCCGGGGTCTTTCCCGGGGAGCCGGCCCCGGTGAGGCTTCCCCCGTCATCCCAATCTCCTCTGGTTTGGCTCCGGGAGAGGTTTGGGGGCTGGCGGAGCTCAGTAAGGGGTCGTGCCTTCCCACTCCACCAGGTACTGCACCTTCCCCTCCAGCGTCACCCGCCGCGCCACGCCCCGAAGTAGCTGCTGATGGAGGACTTGAGGTGGGAGAGCGAGGAGTCGTCCTCGCTGATGCTCTCGAAGGTGTGGCTGTCGATGCCATCGTCCGGGCGGTCGGGGCCGCAGGTCACCTCGCTGCCCTCGGG